ATCTGAAGCAAGAGGTCTATTATCAGTGCACAAGGCTAAGACCTAGTGGGAAAGGCTGTCTACGTCCCTTAGTCCCTCCCCAGCCTGCATAGCAGGTTTGGGGCCATGCTTTGTGGCTGCAGGAGTCAGCACAGTGTTAATGTAGTCCTTCCTTCATGGTTACCTGTCTGCATGTCCATCTCCTCTGCAGAGCCTCCCATGAGCTCCCTTCTCTCACTTGAACCATGACCTCAGCTCCCAGCCCCGGGCCTTGTAAACCTTGCCAGCCATGCAGGGCCATGTGGTGCAGTGCTGTCCTTTTCTGTAAATCCGAGCTTTTTTGGTGAGCTGTTGGGATGGCAATTAATTCTGGCACTGAACAGTTTAGAGCCCTGTTGCCTTTAGCCAGCTGTATCTATGTTTCCAAAACTGATTTTAAAAAAGAAGTGAAAGCTTTTGGGACTAATAGCTCTCAGCACATGCATCAAAGACAAATGCAATCCTGAGATGTGCCGTACTTCATCTGCTTATGGTGTTGCACTGGAAACATTTTCTGCTCTGCTCCAGAACCATTTGCAGCCACACTGGTTTCCAGATTAAAAGACATAAACAGACATTGGTCCCTTCAGGTTCTTGAGGGGAAAAGCCTTGTGACAGGTGAGGGAGGTGATTTTTCCTCTCTACTCCACACTAATGAGGCCCACCCGAGTTCTAGAGCCCCCAGCACAGTAAAGATGTGGAGCTGTTGGAACAGGCCCAGAGGTAGGCCACAAGGATGGTCAGAGGACTGGCTGGAGCACCTCTCCAGTGAAGATAGGCTGAGGGAGGAGGGAGCTGGGCTTGTTCAGCCTGGAGAAGAAAGGGCTCCAGGGAGACCTCATTGTCTTCCAGTACCTAAAGGATCTTAAAAACAGAAAGGATTTAGACTTTTTACATGGTAGTGATAGGACAAGGGAGAACAGTATTAAGCTAAAAGAGGGGAGATTTAGGTTCAGTGTTAAGAGGAAACTCTTTACTCAGAAGGCGGTGAGGCAGTGAGAAAGCTATCCAGAGTAGCTGTGGTGCCCCATCCCCGGAGGCGCTCATGGCCAAGTTGGATGGAGCTCTGGACAGTCTGAGCTGGTGGGGGGCAGCCCTGCCTGCAGCAAGGGATTCAGAACAGATCAATCTTTAATATCCCTTACAACCCAAGCTAATCTATGATTCTGTGATCCAGAAGGATTAAAACATCCTAGGAGTACATGTTGCTCTGTTAGGGACTAAGCAGGGCCTTTGCTGCAATGCTGGAGGGTAGAGCAAGAAGGCCAGTGTGTGAATCAGCAGTGGAGTTGTGAGTGCTCTGAAATCCGTCCTCATAGTTGGTACACCAAAAATTGTTCACTTGAATGTCCTTTTCTTGAGCTTGTTCTTGTGATTGGGAGCAGCCAGCATTGGTGCTTTGGTTATTATTCCCTTGGCTAATATTTGAAAAATTCCCATGAGATTTCTAAATAATACAGTGAGAGACCTTTACAGAACAACAAAGTGATTTGATTTTTTTTTCCCCAGTATCTCTAGTGGGTTTATTTTGCACAATCACGCTCATTCTCTCATGAATTTCTTTCATGCACAATTTTGCATCCCTCTGCTCACAGCCACCAGATGTGCTATGTCTATGTGATCTGTGTAGCACAGAGGACATGAGACAGTGGCTGCTGAGCCCTCATCACATCCCTGAGGCTGTTCTTGGCAGACAGCAGCAACCCAATTTGGATCTTTCATACTCTTGAGGGCACTGATGTTTAGAATTTTTTGCTTCTTTGTTTTCTCTCATCCCTCATAACTCTCAGACAGACTTAATGAATTTAATTTCTCTTTTCTTTTTTCCCTCTTGGTCATGATAATCTATGACCACGATCATGTTCTTCACATTTTTTGGATACCTTTAGGCTTGTCCTTTCCCCTTTTACTTGGGTGAAGTCGCGGAAGGGCTGCGATTGACATGGCAGATGTGTGCCAGTTCCATGCTCTGCCTATTTCTGGTGCCAGCTCATTTGTTCCTCTCACACAGTCACAGTGGTTTTGTTCATCTCCAGTCTTAACACTTGTCTTGCAGGATACTGCATGCGACTGACTGTAGCAATGTGTCCAGGGTCTGGTTCTGTTCCCTTGTGGGGACATCTCTGTACATCCTGTGTGTTAGCCTTGGAGTTACACTGAGCGCAGCACGCAGCTACCAAAAATGGTTGATACTCTTGTCAGAGTGACATGGTTCACACTGTCTCTCTGTGTGGCAGGTTTGCAGACTGTAAGGCTAGTGTTCATTGATTTGCTCATTTCACTAGTGAAATGGCACACAGATAGACTTCCAGAGCAGAGTTCTGCCTTTCATTTCTGCGTCTCCCATAAGAGCCTGGGCTGTGCACCAAAGCTCGTGGTGTGTGTCTCATGTTCGTGGTGCATGCAGGGCCCACAACTGCATCACATGTGTGGGGAGGCACTTGTCTTTGGGAACAGAACTATGGGGCAAATAAGCAAAGTCTTCTCAGTGCCTCTCTCCTCGCCCACACTATGTTTTCCAAGAGCAAATGGATGTGTTCAGGAGTTTATAATACTGATGGTCATTTCTGTGTCAGGGATTTGCTTGACTCTCTACACTCAGCAAGGTATTTGAGGTGAAAGCCTTTTTGCTAAAGGGGAGAGCTGGAGTTTTCTCACTGGATTTGCCAGAGAGCTGATTTCTGTCTTACAGATTTCACATGGGTTGGTAATGTCTCTTGTGAACTGGGTGAACTCATTGTGGCACTGGTGAGAACATCAGGAAGCCCTTGCTAGTCCTGCATAGAGGTGCTGCAGTGGCTTTACTGACAAGGCTGGAAAAAGCCCGACTGCTAAATGCTTGCTAAAAACAGCAGCACTGAATATTTTATTGAATCAAATCGAAGGCAGAGGTTGTGGAAAGTCAGTAGACTGTCCTGATATGTAGAACATTTCAACAGAGATGCAGTATTTCTTTCAAGCAGAGCACTTGCTGATGATGCTTTAAGGTCATGCTCACTCAGCTACTGCAAGGACTTTTTTCCCCCTTTCCAGCTCTTCCAGAGGAAAAGGCAAAAAAAGGCCTGTGACTATCCAGAAAAAAAAAAATAGATGCCAAGCTACCCCTGAGGAGATTTCCATCCTATACAATGATTGACTGCTGCGTGTGAAGTTATACACATTATGCTCCAGTGATTCCTAAGAGCATAAGTTTTTTATTTTGATGCCTCTTCCTGACATCATGAAAAAGTTGTTCTTGTCTCAGTGAATTTTTGTTATCTTATACTAACCTGAGCAATGCGATTGAAATGGTAAAGTCTCACCTATCTAATGCAGACTTCCTGTTTCTATAGCAACAAAAGTCATCCTTGCACTTAGTGGAGGCATACTGGAGCATGAGTGACTGTGACTTCAGGGCGTAGGAAAACAAACAGAAACACTTGAAGATCAGAAAAATAAAATGGAAGTGAACTCTTTGCACAATTAAAAAAGGTCACCAAGGCTTGGAATACTTTGTTAGTAAGGTTGAAGCCATATTAATGTCATAAGAAGTCCTGTGTTTTAATCTCATTTCCCTAATTAAAACGTAAAAGCCCTTTATAGCAAGTGAGAGTCTTGAAGGTTTTTTCTCCCCCTTCATTTTCCAAAGTTGTTGTGTTTCTGGTTGAACTAACGAAAATTTGGGCTGCTTCACAACAGATACATTTCCCTTTCGTGTTGACAAAAAAGCGTCAGTGTTTTTTGCTACTGGCCAAAAGAAAAGGAAACAAACAGCATGTGGTGCCTTATCCTATATTTGATCTGCGGGCAGCCAGTTCCTGGTCAGTGAGTTTAGATCTGTGTTACAGCGATAAGTACTGAACAAGCTACAGATCAGAGAGTGAATAAATGAGCAGCTTCCTATTGTCTTATGGCTTTCCAATTACAGTTTTAAGAACCATTAAATCATAATTTAAAATAACTATAGGAAACATCCCAAGGTAAAACACCAGCACTGACAGCAACACATCATGAGTGTTTATGAGCTTGTGTTTCTGTATCAGCATACTGATAAGTACTGCATAACAATCGTGGCAGGTTTATTGTGCTTGGTTATTAATCTGTAGAAGTGAATGTAGGCAAGTGAGAAATATGAAATAGGGGATTCTATTGTATTCCTACTAGCAAAAACATCATTTATGTTTGGGTATATTTGAAAAAGACAGTCCAATTTTAATGCTGTTTCTTGAAAAAGAAAAGGCTGCCCTTCTGATAAATTCTTATTTTCTCAAGAATAAAGGTAGCCACAATTCAGGATTTAAGGAAGCTTTTAATCTACTGGCATCACTTGTCACAGGGCAGCTGAAACAACCGATGCTAGCAGTGATGGTGGTAATTTGCCCTACAACAAAAGGAAGGATGGTAGACAGGATAAGGTAGATATAAGGCTGTCTTGTTTGAAAGTTGATCAAGACTAGTTGTTATGAAAACAAAAACCAAACCCAGAAACAATCCACTCAGCATCTGGCTTGAAACCAGCTGAGTTGCAGCATGTTTAGCTGTGAGAAGCTAGCATCCCATAGGAGCTGGGATCCTGCTGAGAGCTGTGCTCTTCTGCCTCCAGCAGACTGACTGGGGAGGTGTCTGGTATCTTTTAGAATTGTGAAAAGGCTTTACATGAAATCTGTGGATCATCTTTCATCTTCTAGTCTCCTTAAATATATGTTTTTGGGGGGAAGGAGGCATAGGCTGACAATCAGAGATGCAGCAGGTCTGCAGGAGATGCAGTATGTGCATAGAAGTTGCACGTGTTAGCACCACAGCCTGCTGCTAATGAGCTTCCCTATTGCTGCAAGGGTATTTGAAGCCCACATATATGAGGAAACAGAATATATGGGATGGTACGTAACTCTGGCCAAAAGTCTTGATGCTAAGTCCGTGGAATTTCATGAAGCTGGGCAGCCTGCTGTGGGGAAGTGCTCCTGTGAGGGGTCTAAATGCATTGCTTGTGCTCTGTGTTTCAGGGATAGAGCTCTGCCCTCCTGCACACCGGTTCATGATCACCATGGTGGCGAGCTTCATTGAGATGGCAGGGCAGTTCCTGATGCCGGGGCTGGCTGCTCTCTGCAGGGACTGGCAGGTCCTCCAGGCTGTCATCATCTGCCCCTTCCTGCTCATGCTGCTCTACTGGGTGTAAGTATTTCTTCCTCTTTGGGTCAAAGGCAACACAGGTTCCTAATGCTGGAGGTGCCTGGAAGTAAGGGTGCTTCCCCATACATATAAATTATTACCTTGTTCTTCTACTCGCTCTGTATGATGTTTTGACAGTGAAGTAAGAAGGAATAATGGTATAGCTTACTGTAGTAGCCATAAGTTTTACATTTTGATGTGTCAGGACTCAGTAGGTGAATATGCTGTTGGGCAGAAAGTTGTACTTCGTAATTTCTCTGGCAGTCACTTCCACTTTATGGATGCAAAAGGATGTGTCCCAGCTTAACTGCTTTGAATTGTAGCTGCACAGCTCAGTTTTCTCCTTAAACCTGCACTGTGGTTCTGGGCAGTCACTGTTCATTCCTTTGGCCTTGGTTAGCCCATCTAGGTTAAAAATAACACACCTCCTTTTGTGAGTATTATGGCTGGGCCCAGTGTGTGCATGAGGTGGCCAGCTCTTGAGCCTCCCTGCTAGGTTTTGCCCAAATTACTGTGTGCTAGGCTGACAGCCAGGTGACCGGCCTGCACTGGGCAGCACTCCCAGAGGTCGCTTCTCTGGCCTGGCTCCTTCTGCTCTTCACTGTCAGCCCTATGGGCTGTGCTTTGGCAAAGGGCTCCAGGCCTGGTGCTGTCTGTCCTGGGGAAGTGGGGGGCTCTATCCCCACCAGAACTTCATAAACCTCCCAAAAACATGTCTTTTTGCTTCTGTCTTAAGAGTGACACACAGTGGTGGCATAACATAGCAGAGACTTGCAAGAGCAGGATTGTACAAAACAATAACAGTGAGAACAGAGTAGATAATTAATTTTAAAGTAATGCTGGCTACATTTAAATATTTAGTTGCTGTGGATTGGAAAAGAAGAAAGTTGATGGTTGTAACACCTAACAAGTTGCAGCGTGTAAGAACTTGTTATGACACGCAACAATTAAGTTCTGTATTTTTTCTGTTCTTGGATAAAGAACTCTTGGGTATAGAGCTCTCATCCATTCATCACCATAATCCCTTAAGTAGAAATCTCTTCCCCATCTCTGAGCTCACATAGATGAACATACTACAGCTTGGCTGAGGGCAGAAAGCAGCACACAGGAGAAAGTTTTAAGTCTTTTGTAAGATAATGACTTCTTTTCCCTTCTCAATTTCCAGTATGTAATAAGTATCTTACTGGTGATACCTCGATGCTGAGTAGCCTAGAATGTTCTTGCTAATGTACAATACTGTTCCCCCAAACCAGCCATGTGATGTACACATGCAAACAGAAAATGTTTGCAGGTCTACTCTCAAGCCTCCTGCTGGGATCTCACCAGCTGAAGAGCATTATAATCCACTGCTGGATAGAACCCAGTGCAGTGCTTGTTGATACCTGTGTCCAAGCAGAATGAAGATATCTAACAAACATGATAGACAGGGTGAGTCCCCAGTAGTCATCTGGACATAGCATGCTCCCTACATGGCTGAGGCAGAATCTCCTGCATTTCTTCGGAGAATTCAACATGGACCTCTTCACAAGGGATCATAGTAATAGCAAATGCTAGAACTTGTTTCCAAATCTCCAAGAGCTTTGTGGTGTTTTGGCTGGGCAGGACAGGACAGGCAGAGAACACAAATTAATCCCGCTGAGATGATATGTGATATGACACACACAGGAGTAATAGGCAAAGCAGCAGAATTTACATTGCCTGGGGTTTTTGTGTTTGCTGAAATGGGCTCTGGTTAGGACTGTTCAATAATACTGTGGTATGTATAAATACATCTAAATACACTCACACGTATGTGTACTTTACCTACGATTAAGTTCTTGCTAAGGGTGAGATCCATATTGCAGTAACCTTAAAAAGTAGTAACCTAACGTACAATTGACTGCTCCACTGCTTAGAAGAGCTGGGGCAGCATTTGCAGCAAGGGTCGGTGCTTTGTGAAGGAAATACAAGGTTTACTGTATATTTGAAGTTAAAAGAAGCTGATAAATTCATTCTTGGAGAAGTCTTTTGGAAAATGAATGAAAATGAGGTGAAAGCAAGAGGAAAAAAAAAAGTCTGTTCTGAAAGTATCTGTATTGATGGAAGTGTAGGGCTTTGGTGGTGGTGGTGGTTGGAGGGGTTTCTTGGGTGGTTTTTTTTTTTTGTTTTTTTTTTAGATCTTTATTTTGTGTGGCTGTTGGTTGGTTGGTTGGTTGGTTTAAATGAAAATGAGATGAACTCACCTGAAAAACAAATAGGGAAGAATTAAGCTGGAGATTCAGGTGGATGTCAGCACTTGAGGGAAACAAGCAGATGAAAAATAAACTCTTTCATATTATGACTGTATGTGCATTTGTGTGTATGCTTGTAAGGCAGCTCAATTAACATAATCTTGTCTTTACTGGGAGAAACTTTTATAGCAGCAAATGAACTTTATCTGGAGTACACTCCATACTCACCCATATAAAAGAATGCCTTAAAATCTGCATGTGAGGAAGAAGATTTTTAACATGTTTAAAAATTAAAAAATTCTGTTCCATTATAATCCTGGAAAGTAATTTTTCACTTTTTAATCTCCATCTTTACAAGAGAATTCAAATCACTTCTGTCAGATGTTTTCCTTCTGTGGCCTGAATTATCCTGTGTAACTGCACAGCTCATCTATCCCCTGCCTGGCAGCAAATGTCTCCTGCATAAAGTGCTTTCCCCTTCTCCCTGTTCTTTCGCAATGGTATTAATAGGCATAACTCCTCTAATATGTAATAAAATTCTAATATGTCCCATCTCAAGGTGATAGGATGGTTCCTATATTGTTTGTGGATCAATGTAAAAGTGAATGTCACCAATTCCTGTGCCCTGAGCCTTTTTTCTCTTACATTTTTAACAGATGATTTTTCCACTTTTTGAAAATAGTTGTATTACCTGCAAATACTTAAATGAGCAGCTACCTGCTATACTTTTCCTCTGGCAGAAACTGGGGAGCAACCCTAATGTATTTTCCATCTCTGAAGTATCTTCCCAGAGTCCCTACGGTGGCTGATGGCTACGCAGCAGTTTGAGGCATCCAAGGAACTTATCCTGCAGCTCACTCGCAAGAACAGGATGAATGCAGAAAGTGACATCAAAGGAGTGGTGCCTGGTGAGTAGAACAGGCATCCATGAATCCACCCATTCAGATTTTTTTACTAAAGTTCTCTAAAGTTATTATCCAGATTTAAACAGTCTATTTACTGTTTGTAAAAAGCATTCCACTTACTCATTAATTTTGTTTTTCTTGAAAAACTGCTCTAAAGTCCAGAACCATATTTAAAATTACAGTCTGATGAACAGTTCTAGTAATTACATTTCATCTGGCAGTGCCGTATGCTTTTAGGAGCATCTTTTGGGTGATTTTACCATGGCTGCAGTGTGTCAGCTTAGAATGGCTCTCGTAACTGTTGTAAGGAAGCTTCTGGCTGGGGTCCTGCCCATCACACAGATAGGTGAGGTGGTGACACCCAAGCCACAATTTCTGAAACATCAGTCCCATGGCAGAACTAAATCGCATCCTATTTCAGTATCAAATCTTGCTCCTGTTCTATCTGAGCAGAGCTGTCCTGGGGGCTTCTGATCCTACAGTCTTGATAGTGCACATAGATACCCATTTTACAGTGTCTCTTGCAGACTACCTATTCACCAAAAAACTGTGGAAATGTTTTGGGTTGATTTTTCACTGTTTCATACTCTACCTACTCTTACCTGAGGGACTGCAGGGGTACATCACCTGCACGCCTGCCCACTGTTAGGAATGATGCTTTCTATACTTTGCTGGTACTCACTGTCAAGAGTCTCTGGAGTAGCTCATGTCAGTTTGGTTCTGTGTTTCAGCTTGGTAGTCACACAAAGGCCACTGCTGTGATTTCTGTAATAGTTGGCAGACCTGTGTTAATTACCTTGTTTGCACGTGAATTGCATGTCTGAAGTTTCTTAGATCTACATCACACACAACATGGCTGTGCAGTGTAAATGACGTTTTCTTGGTAAAGTTCTGAAAAGCTCAAGGGTGTGGAGCAGCCCCTGATCTCCATCCCTGTCTCTGTCCTGCAGATCTTCTTCAGGGTAGATGAAGGAACTTAGAGAAAATTCAGAGGCAATGAAAGGTCTCACAATTAGACTTGGAGATTTCCAACCAAGTCTAAATTTAGCTTTTCTCAGCCAGTTAGTTACTTGAATTTGCAGACAAAATAAAGTGTATTTTTAGGGGGAAAATAATTACTTGAGTTTCCTTTAAGGAAAATGATAAAGATGCAACTTGGTGCTAGAGGGATTTATTTGAGCTGTTTCTAGTTATATTGTCCCTGGAGGAGTGCTAAGTATCAAAATGGTTTTATGACTATTACTTGCGATTACTTTTTCCAGCAGTTTCATGGTAGAGCCACACTCCTGTTCAGGGAGGGACTCCCTTTCATGTGCAAAACAGTGTTATTGTACCTCTCAGTGGTATGGACTCTGCCTGCAAATACATTTAGATATCATAGTTGTCAGCATGTTACCTTCTGCACACCTTCCTGAGTAATACAGAATGTGCTCAGTTCTGCCACTTTGCTGATGCTGGATTTTTTTTTCTTTGGTGTGAAGTGGGTTTTTATCTATGTATTTTTTTTCTTCTTGACTTTGTCTTTTTAAACTCTCTGCAACCCCACATGTTAAGGCTTCCCTAATCTAGCTGTAGAATGATGCTTTATTTTTCTAGAAACATTAAGATGAGAGTAGTAGCAAATGGGTTAAATGAGTGTAAAGATTTTGGAAGGGCCTTCTCTCTTTGTAGGTTGAAGGGGGCACTGATAGTGTGAGTGAGGACATGAGAGAAGTAGAAATCCTGAGTGAAGAATTTGATCAAAGTGAGTCGGTATGTGTCTGGTTGGGTCTGTAAGCAGAAGAAAACATATTTCTGTTTTTGTATGTTGTAATCACAAAGACATCATTGCTGTAGCAGGGAATGGTCGAAAAGCCTGTACTTGTCTGTGTGAGAGGATGCCATTCAGCCTGATGCTGATAACTCCCATTTCTTCTTAAATCTATTGCTGAGCTTTCCTGTCTGCATGGAGAGAGTTTTTGTTTGTGATTTGTTTTATTCTCTGAAATGGCTGGAAAACATTTTACTTCAATTCAGGTCGGTTGTGTTGCTGTTTAGTATTAGTGATAGTAGCCTTGTGTGACCGAGTTACTCTATGTGCTGTCCCATACAGTCTCTTCCAGCTAGAAACCCCAGCGTAATTCTACTCACCTGTAACAGTCAAATTAATGTACCTTGTGTAACAGACTGTTTACTGGAGTTGTATGTACACTTTTTGGCAGCTTATAGCAGTTCTATAACAGAAATAATTAGCATTCAAATGGGTGAAGTATTTCTGAGATGGAAGAAAATGCAGTTTTGAATTGTGGTCCAAGCAGTGAACAGGTGTATTTTCCTTTCTGAAGAACTGTACTGCTCCCATTGTTGGAGGGAAGCTTTTAATTGTCCCTTTGGTTATGCTACTCATAGTGGAGACCAACCTTCTGTAGCCTCTTTGTGCTGTAGAACATGGCCCATGTGTTAGGCAGAAAAAAAAATTAAAAGCTTGTTTGCTCTGTTTGAGCAGTTTTCCAGAGTTCTTCTAGAAGATGGCTCTAAGGAGAAGAATGAATTGTCTTAATAGTGCTCACGTTGGGGTTGTGATAACAGTTCTGTGTCTGGAGACCAACATGGACAGCTGATGGGTAGTGCTTAGCCTGCAAGGTAGTAGGCAGACAAATTAAAGCTGGACAAGAGATGTGGATTGGGGTTGAGAGCAAATTAACATTACCCTCATCTTCTCAGTGACCTGAGCAGTGTCTCCCAGGGAGCAGTGCTCTTTGACATTTTTATCAGTGACATAGATGATGGGATTAAGTGCACCCTTACCAAGTTTGTTGTTGAAACCAAGCTGAGCAGTGCAGTTGATGCAACAGAAGCAAGGGATGCTATCCAGAGGGGCCTTGATAAACTTGGAAGGTGGGCCCATGTAAACCTAATGAGATTCAACAAAGTCAAGTGTAAAGTGTTACAGTTGGGTCAGGGTAATCCTAGATATGTATACAGACTGGGAGAACTCCTTGAGAGTAGCCTTGCTGAGGAGGATTTAGCAGTCCTGATAGATGAAAAGCATTAGATGAGCTAGCAGTGTGCTTGCAGCCTGGAAAGCCAACAGTATCCTGGGCTGCATCAGAAGGGAGTTGACCAGCAGGGAAGGGAGGGGATTGCCCCCCTTTTCTCTACCCTCGTGAGGCCCCAGCTACAGTACTGTATCCACGTCTGGGGACCCCAGCACAGGAAGGATGTCAGGCATTTGGAATGGGTCCAACAGAGGGTCATGAAGATGACTGAAGGGCTGAAGCACCTCTCCTGTGAAGGTAGGCTGAAGGACGCAGGTTTGTTCAGTCTGGGAAGAAAAGGCCGATATGAGGGGAGACCTCATTATGGCCTTCTAATATTTAATGAGAGACTATAAACAGAAGGGAAATCAACTTTATTCATGGGTAGATAATGACAGGACAAAGAGAAATGATTTTAAACTAAAAGAGGGAAGATTTAAATTAGATGTCGGGGAGAAATTTTTTGCTGAGAGAGTGATGAGATGCTGGAACAGGCTGCCCAGAGAGGCTGTGGATGCCCCATCCCTGGAGGTGTTCAGGGCCAGGTTGAACGGGCCCCTGAGCAACCTGATCTAGTACTTGATTTAGCAGTTGACAACCCTGCCTGTGGGGTTTGGAACTTAATGATACTTGAGGTCTTTTCCAAGCCAAGCCATTTTGTTATTCTGTGACCTGCCCTAAGGATGTGAAGGCGGTGTATGTTCTGAATTGCAAAACAAATGGGTGGTTGCCCCCTTAGCAAGGGCTTTGCTCTGGGACAACTGGTACACCTTTTGATTTTGGCTATGAACACTTTGCCATTTGGTGATTTTTGCAGTTGTATTTTCTTTTTTAAGAAAAGTAGAGATGTACTTACTGAGTATCTCTGAAGTCTCGAAATTTTACCAGTTGGCTCAACAGTTCACCTTTTTTTGCAAGGGAAGTTTAAATTCATTGTTGCAACAAATTAATTATTTTTATCCCACTGCATTTTGAAATGTAACTTATAAAGCAGGCTTGTTAATTTTTTGTTGACAACTATTTTAAAACACTGCCAGAATAAAGCCATCTTCAGTCGTGAGCAAATTAAATATTTTTATAATATTAATTTAGTAGAGGTTTTTCACTTCCAGTTTCTTCTAAAACTTTCTCATCTCTTCTCTGTTCCCCTGTGGAGCATAGAGAACAAACACATTTTTCATTACAGCTTTACAGTCCCACTCTACACTACACTGATACAGCACGAGCCCCTTGAGTACTGCATGTCATTTTGTACTCCATAGAGCTATCACAGTATCCAAAGGAGGACTGTGAAGGTGGTGAAGGGTCTGGAGGGCAAGATGCATGAGGAGTGGCCAAGTTGTCTGGTTTGTTCAGCCCAGAGCAGAGGAGCTGAGGGGAGGCCTGATGGCGGCTGCAGCTCCTCACAGGGAGCGGAGGGCAGCACTGAGCTCTGCTCTGTGTGACAGCGACAGGGCCTGAGGGAACGGCATGGAGCTGTGTTAGGGGAGGGCAGCTGGATTAGGGAAAGGGTCTGCACCAGAGGGCGGTGGGCATGGAATGGGCTGCCCAAGTTCAAGGAGTGTTGGGACAACGCTCTCTGACACAAGGTTTGAATTTTGTGCGGTCCTGTGTGGTGACCAGAGTTGGATTTGATTGTCCTTGTGGGACCCTTCCAACTTAAGGTATTCAAATTCAGTTATGGAACGGTCAATTTTTAGTGAAGTAAAGGCTAAGGAAGCACTTCTTAAAGTGTGGGAGTAAAGAGTGTTTAGGGGTATTGGAAATCCCAGAGTGCCAGATGTCCTAAGGTGTGTTGTCCAGAACAGATCACATGCTGCACACTAGTCTGTGCTGCACTGATACCCAGTCCCTCACTGTGTGTGGGTGCTGTTGGGAATGCACAGCAGGGAAAGCCCTGGCTGCAGTTACCTGGTTGTCAGACGTAATGTTTCTGTGAAAGCCTGCCCTACTGTCATTTTGCCTATCTTCTTCTTCGGTGAATGG